CTTGGGTCGCCGAGGTTCGGTGGGCCGAGACCCGGGAGGCGACCAATGGTGAGCCGCTCCGGGGATCGGACCAGGAACCCGCCTCTCTTATTGGCTGTAGGAGCGAGGTCGCTCCACCCTCTTCTCCCAGACACGCTGGTGGGGGCGCTGGTGGGGTCGGGGGCTCGCGCCTGGGCTGGTTTCACCGCGCTGGTTCTGTGCAGTGACCCCTTCTCCTTGGGGGCGCTTCCACCAGCCACGAGCCTAGTGGTAACACATTCGGTCACCCCGCGAGGGTAGGAGACGCCCCAGGCCGGGAGTGAACCCCTCAACTCTGCAGAGTCCCAGGCCTGGCCCGCCGCTGACCACGTCGCTTGGCGCCCAGCGGCCAGGAGAGGCGCCCTTTCATTTCTCCAGGTTTTCCCTTAGATTCCTTTGCGAGTGCGGGGAGCCCCCTTTTTTCTAGGAGGAAGCACCCAGAGCGGTAAAGACCTGCTGGAACCCCGAAGCACTTGGAATGCATTAGGCTGTGGCTGGCACCTTCTCTCCGCCCTGGCGAGGCTGCTGTGGAGGCTGGCAGTGAAGGAATCTGGCCAGAGCTCATGGCAGGCGCTGGGGTAAGGTCGTAAACAGGGGATAGGGCCCTGCCCTGTTCAGTCGTCGCTTCCAGTCTCAACCACCCCGCGCACAGCCAGAGCTTAAGTCCAAGGTTCTGCGTTTCACCTGAAATTGTACCGAGTTTTTGAGATGTTTTTTTCTCAGAAGCCAAACCCTTCTCTGTGTGACCTTGCCTACCTCTCCATACCCTCTCTGCCTGGACCCACATTTGGGAGAGACTCTAGTCCTAGACCCCCCATTTCACATTTAAGCACCTTTGGTCAAGCTGCACCGCAGAATGCCTTTCCCAACCCTGGCACAGAGCTAATGTTGCTCCCCACCCCAGGCAGCTCAGGCCCCTCTAAAACTGCGTTGATGGTGCTTGACTCCTCCTTCAGGTGCCCATGACATAGTTTGCATCGGTGCCATGGTTTTTTCACTATATTATTGTTCTCTGTGCGTCTCTCCACTGGGTAGACTGAGCTCCAGGACAAACAGCATCTTGTTTGTATTTCCAACCTCTAGCACAGTGCAGGGATGTGTTGGCCTGTGGCTGAATGAAGGGCCCATGATAAGAGCCAGAAGCTCTTTACATTGGATTTCAAAAGAGACTCATGTTCTGTCTTCCACCCCAGCTGTAACTGTGTGTATGTGGCAGTCCAAAGTGAGGTGCCTTTTAAGTATAAAGTATGCTAGATTTCAAAGACTTCAAAAAGAGTGTGCAAAATAGCATTAATAGCTCTCATAAATTACATGTTGAGATGATAATATTTTGATGTATTGGGTTAAATGAAATATGGTATGAAAATTCTTTTCACCAGGGCTGGTGGTGAAGTTCAGTGGTAGAGTGTTTATCTTGCATGTGAGGAAGCCCTGGGTTCAATCCCAGCACCATATCATACAAAAAAAAAAGCACAAACAAAGCTTATATTTGCTTTTTTAAGGCAGCTCTTAGGAAATCACAAGTTACAGATTTGTCTTGAATTGTGTTTCTAGAAGCTGCAAGAAAGAGGGGCATGGACTAATGTCAAAAATAACTCTCCCCTGGGCGTATCTGAAGTTAGTTGCTGAGACCAATGTTCTGCTTTGGAAGTTAAGTGTTCTGAGGAAAAACAGGTTGAGGTAATCTGGAAAGTAAAGGCCAGTTTAACCTATGTTGAGAGTTTTGTCGGAGAAATTATTGGCTAACAGAGATGGTTTTGAGATAATTAGAAACCACCAAGGGGCCAAAGGGCAGGTGCACTGCTGGGCCATAACTGAAGACCTGTCACTGGTGGCAAGGTAGCATGTCTTCTCCCTACCCTGTCACACTCTCAAGTCTTATAGACCATAATAACCAGGTCCCTCTTTAAAGCCAGGATGCTCTCAGCGCCTCCAAGAATAAAGTAGATCAGAAAACACACTTTTGGAGATTATCAGAGAGACAGGATGAACTGCTAGACCCGTGCCCATATAAAACATTATTTGAGTTCCTTCTGAGGCAGACAGATGACATTAAAAACTACTTTGGGGGCCAGGGATTTAGCTCAGTGGTTCTGCTGCCTGCCTCACAAGCACAAAGACCTGAGTTCGATCCCCTGTGCCAAAAAAAACAAAACAAAACAAAACAAAAAACCTACTTAGGTTAAAAATTGTGACTCTTCACTTGGGTCTAAAGCGTGGTATCTCTGCCTTTATTTTTTTAATCTGTCTTTTTTTTGTCACCTTAAAACTTTAAGTGGGACCCCAGCTCAGACCTACATATAGACATGTTAATCATTTAAGGTTAAAAGTGTTTGTCTAAAAACTGGTAGTGCAAAGTTTGTCAGCCCTAAATTGATGTAACCTGTCTCCTCCCTATCCAAGACTGAGAACACCAAAATTAAGAGATTTGCAGTGACATTCAGCTGCCAGTGTTTACAGTGTTCCTTCCACTCAGAATCCTCTGAAACGAGCATCTAAATGTCTCCAGTTATTGCTGTAAACTTGCAGTCACTTCAAATTCCAACAGAGCCTCTGCAAAGTTGAGACAGCCCCAAACAAAAACTATATATCCTGGGAAACAGATTGGCCCCTCAAGTCAAAAACTTCTCCAGACCCTAGAGCTGCAGAAACCCCAACTGAGATAGTGATCATTCCCAACTCTAGCCACTCAGCAACCCTATAAAAGCTGGCCTTTTCCCTTTTTTAATAGATCAGTCTGATCTCCTTTGTCAGAGTTGTGCTCTCATTTGCCTGTTCTCAAGCTGAAGCCCCTTCCCATTTTCTCCTCCTTCTCAGTAAAAGCTTGTGCCTATAGATTCATGCAATAGCCACAGTTTTATTTTTCTTTATTGCTGAAAAAAAGGACCCTTGCTGGTTGGTACAGCTTTACCCTTAGGAAGAGATAAAAGAGGTCCCTGTTATGATTTAAACCTAAAATACCCTCCTAAAAGCCTGTGTGTGTAGAGGAAGGCATTTGGGAAATTACTGGCTTATGAGGACTCTAACTTCATCAGTGGATTAATTCATTGACAAGATAATAATTTGATGGCTTTATTGGGAGGTGGTAGAAACAAGAGATGGGGATCTTGTTAGAGTGACTGAACCATGGAGATGTGACAATGGGGAATATATTTAGTCCCCAGTTCTTTCCCCTGGGTGTTTCCTTCTCACTCTGCTTCCTGGCCACCAAGAGATGAGTAACTTTCTCTGCCATGTTCTTCCACTATGATATTCCTGCCCCACCACTGACCTAAAAGCAATGGAACTAGCTGACCACGGACTAAAAACTCTGAAACCATGAGCCATACCAAACCCTTCCTCCTTTGATTTGTTTTTCACAGGCAACTCACAGTGATAAAAAGCTGGCCAACCTAGCTCCGAAGTTAGATAAAGCTGATCTTCAGGGAGTCACAGTGAGGGTGCAGAAGAAAGAGTTCCATCACCCCAAAGCCTCTCTCCTGCTGCTCTTTATAATCATTTTCCTCCCACTCCAAGGTCCTGGCAGCCAGCGCTGTTTTCAGCAGAAGGAATAAAACAATGTGAGAGGTAGCCTTGAGCTCACTAATTTTTGCGGAGGTCAAAGCAACTCCTTTTGATGCAAAATCTCATAATTGTACATTATTTACCAAGTTGATGACCCATGAAAACAGTCAGTTAGGAAACAGGAATGGAATGTTCTGGGCAAAAACTCAAGAAGAAATTAAGCAAAATATTTAAAATTTGACCATATAGCAATCTTTGTAAAAATATGGGTATCTTCTTCTTTCTCAAGAAGTAGAGATTAATGAATGTAAACAGTTTCTTTAATTAAGGAGTTCAGTTAACACCAGAATCCTAATAAATAAATAAATAAGAAAATAGCCTTTTCTTATACTTACATGATACAGTTACTGATATCATTTGGTCTTTATAACAGCCTGGGGGGTAGCAATGCAGAAAACTTATTTGTTTGTCAGTTCAGGCTGGCCTTGAGCTTGCAGTGATATGCCTTAATTGCGCTTGCTAACATTTTTAACAATATGCTGCTTGCAAAGTGTTAACTGTTGAGCAAATGTGGTGATAGTGGACATCCTTGTCTTGCTCCTGACATCAGTGGGAAAGCTTTCAGTTTTTTCCCATTTAATATGATGCTGGCATGGGTTTGTCATGATGACTTTTGTCATATTGAGATAATATCCATCTATTTTCTTGATTGTTTTTAATAATGAAAGATATTGGATTTCATCAAAGGCTTTTTCTCTATCTATTGAGATGATCATGTGGTTTTTCTTTGCTTCTGTTTCTGATGTATTACATTTATTGATTTGTATATGTTGAATAATCTTTCCATCACTGGAATGAATCCTACTTGGTCATGGTGTATGATCTTTTTGATAATTTGTTCTATTGGGCTAACTTTGCCACTAGGCCGTATATATTCTTGATGAGCAGGAAAGATTTGTTCCTGACAATTTAAAACAGGGACAGCTTATTTACTATTGTAATATGGGCTTGAGTTCAGCATGAACTGGGAGATGGTGAGAGATGGGTGTGAGATGGTACTTAAACTATGAAACTATTCAGCTGTAGCATTTCTGCTTAAAATATACAATGTGGAATGAAATACCGAATGTTCAGGCTTTTATGACTGTCAAAGGGAATGCCCACAAGGGGAAAAAATGAGAACCAAGACCTGTCATGTAGAGGTACAAGATCCCAATAATGAATGTAACTGTACTGTATACCTAAAATACCTAAAATATACCAATAAACTCAATTAAAAAGGGGGGGGGGATGCACAAGAACTCTCGTAGAGTGGCATCTGAGGGGGAGAAACATTCTGATGGGACCAGAGATCTCTTTGACCTCTTTATAGTCCCCAGGCCAATAAATCACGTCTGTCCTCACCAAGTGACTCAGGAACTCCATTAGAGCCTAGTTACGCAGGGAAACCCAGCATTCCTCAGCTCCCTCACTGTGCTCCTCAGGCAGCCTTACGTCCCACTTGGTACAAGTAGACAGTTTTAAGCTCTGCAAGTTGAACACGAAGTGCTGCCTCTTACTACTCTAATTCTCAACTTATCCTGCCCCTAAAAAAATCCCAGACGTGGAAGGGAATACTATGGTATTAGTCCCTTTTTCAGCTAGAGATGTACAAGAGGCTAGGAACTATGCAAATGAACAGTGTGCTTTAAAAAGGGAAAGAAACCACCCTGGAAATGTTATTCATCCTTCAACAGAACCACACTGGTACTGTAATATTAGTCATGAACTAAGAATGATGTCTGGTATGCTAGCTTCTCTTACCTGGGAGATAAAGAGTTGTGTTAAGTCTTTCATTCATACATACATTAAAAAACAAATTGGTCCTTCCTCAAGGGACACAGTGGAAGGCTATAAAAACACTTTGATTTCTTCCATATGGAAAGCAGTGTTACATTGGAAGTGGTCCCTCAAGTTTTCACAGGATTAGGAGTAGCGGTAACCACCCAATAGATCTGCAAAGCTTGCTCATTCTGTTCCTACAACAACCCAGGCAAGCACAAATTGCCTCCTTTATTAGAACCTACATAGAGGA